CACACACACACACACACACACACACACACTCGCCTCTCTCTCTCTCTCTCTCACACACACACACACACACACACACACACGAACACGAACACACGCACACCAACACACGAACACACGCACACGCCCACACACACGCACACGCCCACGCACACACGCACACGCCCACGCCCACGCACACACGCCCACGCCCACGGACACGCACACGCACACGCACACGCACAGACGATATACCAACATGCTTGGTCGGACGTGCGCGATCCTACATTGGTTACTTAGAACCAAACCAGCTAGGCGTGTGCGTAGTTCAGATGTGGGTTCTGCAGTGACGCGCGACAACAGGAGTGTGCTACTGCTGCCGAGGAATTAGGTGGGGAGAAAGAAGAGAGGGAGTTCCTGGAGAAGTTGTGCATTAAAAAAAAAAAAAAAAAAAAAAAAAACCATATTTTTTGGAGCAGCCTTCCTCTTCAAGCCGTACTGAGATGAAGGTCTACTCGACCTGGATTTCGCCGAAAAAAGACTCCGATATATTCCGGAAAGTCCCATTGTGGTGAGTGTGTACTCTCATTCCACACACCTCTCACCTGGCTACCAAGTCACATATTTCCCTTGTCCTACCTTTGCTTCTTCCACCTTCCCCTTACTACCTCGGCCTAACCCACCTCCCTCAGGCTGCCTGATTACTCGGATTTAATGAGATCAGCCAGTCGGCGATTTCCCCTCTGCGTGCAAGAAGGAAGTTGCATTTAGTGTTCACTGTTCTTCGATTGCAGCCTCTAACGAGATCACGAGGTCAAGAGCAAGAGCTCACAAGCTTGCGTAAGGCATGAAGACTGTCGGGCATGCCGGTGCAAATGAAGAGGGGCAGTAATCGGAGTTGAGTGCAGCTTCTTCTTCGGCGGAAAGAACTGGTAGGTAGTAGGGATTGTTGATCCGCGCAGGGGAAGCACACATGCAGGCTATGGGCGCGCTTGCGAACACATATTAGGAGAAGGAGGAAGACGACGTGAAGAAGAAGAGGAAGACGTGAGGAGGGGGAGGAGTAGCAGCAGACTTGAGGAAGAGGAAGAAGAGGAAGAAGAAGAGGAAGGAGGAAGAAGAAGAGGAAGAAGAAGAAGAGGAAGAAGAAGAGGAGGAAGAAGAAGAGGAAGAAGAAGAACAGTTTGAGCAGCAGCAGCAGCAGCAGCAGCAGCAGCAGCAGCAGCAGCAGCAGAAGAAGAAGAAGAAGAAGAAGAAGAAGAAGAAGAAGAAGAAGATTTCAGCAGCAGCAGCAGCAGCAGAAGAAGAAGAAGAAGAGTGAAAGCAGGGGCCAACTGTCTTGCGTACACGGTTAACAAATTGTCCATAACAAATCCGCGTATATAGTGAAAGCAGGGGCCAACTGTCTTGCGTACACGATTAACAAATTGTCCATAACAAATCCGCGAATATATGTCTCAGACATTCCTGGAGGCGCGTTTCGGTCGGCTGCGCTCCGATCATCCTCAGGGGGCTTTCCGCACTACCATGCCTTGCGGGCCACCTACTGACCATCCAACCCACTGAGGAGGAGGAGGACGAAGAAAAGGGGACGAGGAGGAGGAGGAAGAGGAGGAGGAGGAGGAGGAGGAGGAGGAGGAAGAATAAGAAGAGGGAGGAGGAGGTGGAAGAACGTTATCTAGAAGAAGAAGAAGAAGAAGGAACAGTCTCAGCAGCAGCAGCAGCAGGAGCAGAAGAAGAAGAAGAAGAAGAAGAAGAAGAAGAAGAAGAAGAAGAGGCAGAAGAAAAATAGTGAATAGTGAAAACAGGGGCCAACGCCTGGAAGTTCAGCAGTACATAGCCGTGCGTACTGGTCTCAGCTTATGCCCACGTTCCCCGACGCGCGCTTTGTTCGGCTGCACTCCGGTCATCCTCAGGGGGCTTCTCGCACAACCATGCCTTTCGGGTCACCAACTGTCCTCCAAGCCTAGCACCCTCAGGGCAGGGAGGAGGCAGAAGTGCCCTTGGGACTATAGGCGTCTGAAGAAAGGAAGGAGAAGAGACATCTGCCGTAGTATGCAGCATCTACAGCATCTGCAGCAGCAGCAGCAGAAGAAGAAGAATAGTGAAAACAGCGGCCATAGACTGCTTCTCTCACATGCTTCAGCAGATAGACATTACATCTCCACATGCACTGTTCTTATACTAGAAGAAGAAGAAGAAGAAGAAGAAGAAGAAGAAGAAGAAGAAGAAGAAGAACAAATCAGTAATGGCGAGGCCAATCACCACGTGTCCACGCTTACGAGTATTCAATAGCCTGCATGGACAGAAGAAGAACAAGAAGATGAAGAAGAAGAAGAAGAAGAAGAAGAAGAAGAAGAAGAAGAATAGAGAAATGTGAGGCCAAACGCTAGTAGTCCAAGCAACACTAGTTAGTCATCAGTAAACAAGCTCGGACATAAAAGAGCTAAGAAACGCGGACAACAAGAAATGTGACGGGAGGGAGGAGGAGGAGGAGGAGGAGGAGGAGGAGGAGGAGGAGGAGGAGGAGGAGAATCGTGTAGTGGCGTATAAGCTCATCGGTAGGTCCGTGGTGTTGTTGTTGTTGGTGTTGGGATCGCCAGGAAAGAGTTGAAGAAGCGGCCCATCCTCCATGAGAGGAAAGCCTCGACTGATCAGTCTGAGAGTGGCTGGGCTAGCGTAGAAACCGCGTTTTTTTTTTTTTTTTTTTTTTTTGACGAGTGTGACAGTTGAATCGTTAGCCGGTGACGAATAGGGCAACGTGGGCAGCTTCTCAATGGAGTTGGAAATGGACTCGCCGGAGAGAGAGGACAGAGCTGATCTCGGTGGCCACCTTCAGGTGTGTCGTCACTCCCATGTTGAAGTGTGCTGCTTCTGGTAGTCTTGCCAGCAGCACGTTGAGCACTCTGGCTACTTTCCTACTCCCAGTCTTGGTTGGCTCCTTGTTTGCTGGCGCTATGGGTCTCCATATCCCGAGGTCCTTGTCCTTGGGAATCCCGTACGCGCACCCCACCTTGCCTTTCTGGTTCCTCGCAGCTATCTTTTCCAATCCCGCTTTCTTGTACTCTATCTTTGCTTCTGCCATGGCCTCCTCCTCCCTCCTATCCTCCTGTTTGTACGCTCCATTGTGTATACACATCTTCCTTAATGCATGCTTATTGGTAGATGCGCACATCAGCACTCTTTCTCCTCGGTTTCTGTCCACTGTGTCGATCACCAGATGCTGGTATCTCCTTATCTCTCTGACTTCTTCTTCCCTGACCGCGGATCTCTCATATCTCTGTACCGCATAGCAGTTTCTTACTCGGAAAAAAAAAAAAAAAAAAAGAGTTTCTTACTCGGACATCCTGTTCCTGGGCATCTGTATGCTTCCCCGATGGTGGCTGCTGTCTTTTTTTTTTTTTTTTTTCCCTGCTGCCTTGATCGTGAAGGTAAGTGTTTCTCTCCTGCTCTTCTTGCAGAAGGGAGGGAGAAATAAAGGGGATAATAATACCCATCAATCAACAGCTGGCTGGTCTATGTATAGACACCGTCCTCGTGCAGTCCGTCAGTTCTTGTGAGCTGTCAGCTGAGACTCAGAGAGTGCGGCCGCAGAGCAGATGTAGTCATCCTTTTTTTTTTTTCCCCTCTTCTTTTTCCGTTTTCAGCTATTCTGTACTTATTCGTTTCTCCCTTCCACATACGTACTAATTAATCAATCGACCAATTAGGAAACCATTCCAAAGATGGGCTGATCATTCTTCCATTTCGATCAACGAGGGAGAAAATCTGGCGGGGGGGCAGTGGGGGGAGGAGGGGAGATTGAAGCCGTCAGTTGGTTTCCTAATTAGGAAACAAAATACAGGGGCCAGCCGTGTGCGTGGAAGACTTCCTCCTCCCCCCCCCTCCCAACCCCAACCCCGCCCCAACAAAAGAAGCTGGGCTGTGCCAGCCCCCCACAAAAGAGCTGGGCAGCTCTGGAGTTGGTCGGGGAGGCCAGCTGGCCCAGTCCAGCTGGCAACGGTTCGTTTCGCCAGCTGGCAGATATGACGACTACGTGTGAACATCAAGGCCGTACAGAGGGGGGCATCGGTTGGAGGGGGAGGGGTTTTTTTTTTTTTTTTTTTTTTTTTTTTTTTTTTTTTTTTTTTT